TTTATAATGGTGATTTACAATCGAGCATGGAATATATATAATTCACAAGTCAAGCAAACTTGCAATAAAATTCATTTACCAAAATATATATTTAGGTAAGGGATCGGCATTTTATATTTATTAAGCTACCGAAAAGATTAAATAGTCCAAATAAAAGGCTGTAAATCACACAATTTAATGTGCCTGGCTATGTGCCGGACTTTTATGGATATTACTAATTGTGTAAGAAACTGTCTATCATAAATAATATACTAAGATACGAGGCGATTAATGGGGATAGTTAACTAACCCAACACATAATTTCCAGTATCCAAATTGTGTGATCTCACAACAAAATTTTTCTTTTGGTCTTCAGCGTCTTTAGCAGAAAAATATTTCCTCTGGACCCTTCGGAGTAGCATCCCTTTGAAATTTGCCGTTAAGAGTAGCAACTTTGCTTTCGCTCAAACTTCTGAGTTTTTCCGACATTTAGGCCGTCGTGGAATTGAATTTGCTTGCTTACTCTCGTTTGCTCAAACAACCTCTGAAGATGCAAGGCAAGACATTCAATCCGAAGGCGGCCTAAAAGCCGAAAAAACTCAGAAGTTTCAAATAGTGGCCACATAGGGAAATGTGTACAGTGATTTTTAAATGTGAATATATAATGTCTTTCCGATGATTAGCGAACACAAATCAGATTTTCCCGGTCATTGCTTGAAACTGGTGAAAAACTCAAGGGTTTCAAGCAATCACCGCAAAGCTCAAAAATTTCAATTTTCAATTTGCTCTAATTTAAAACGCCAAAAAACTCATCAGTTTCAATCATAGAATTGCAAACGCAATTATTCAAATTTCTAATTTCGTACTACGAAACTCATCCCCTATTTTATCCGACTCCTTTACATTTATTATCCCTCCTTTTTAAAATAATATATTCCCCGTGGGGAGTGGCTGCGTAGGATAACAATTTGCACACACCAACCCCCTTTAAGAAAAAAAAGGAATGATGATTGATGATCAGATCCGTGGTGTTAAGACAAACCGATAATTAAAATTTCAAAGCAACTCAATTGTTCAAATACCATCGGCGATTTTCTGACGAATTTTGCAAGGTGAGTCGCTTTAAGTGACAATAATGATCTACGCTAACGATATTAGTGTTATACAATACTTGGGTCTAATAGCGCAACCAGAGTCAAGGCAACACAATTATAAATGCATCATTTTGAAGTTGGGAATTTCTGATGATCGAAATGTCTTAATATGCAAATGGTTCTCATCCTCAAGGTAAAAGCAATGATATCGAGAACATCGAAGAAAAAGGGAAAATATTCAGATTATTTTTTTAGTTTAGGTATATTTTTTGACCTCTTCTGGATTCAATTAGCAGTTTGAACTAAAATAAGAAATATTATAAAAAATAACCGTGAATGTTAGAAAAGCGTGCTCTATGGCCCGTGTCACAATGTTTGCGCTATTGAGTACAAACCATTCATTGTTGGAAAAAATATTTATTTTTAATTACCTAACGCATTGGCTATTGTAATTGGAGAAGGTTTGCATTGATTATGTACACTCGCTACTTGACATTCACAGCAATTTGTTATATGCAGGAACCTGAAAAAGCTTGCAACATATTGCTGAATTAAATGTTGAACACTAATTCAAGATTTTAGCGAATGGCAAATTAGATATTACCGGAAAATATGATTGTTTCGAAAAAAGGTCCGAAATCTGATCCCGCAATACGGTTCCAATTATTTCCGATTGACAAAAGAAAGCAAAATTATATTCCGCGTCCCCAGTATTTCCTTTCAGATTTCATATACACTGAAAGTCAAGAAAAGCAATTTTCCTACAAGAAAGGAAATTCGATATGGCTTCTTTTCCATTTTAAGGTATTTGTCTTCTTTTATAAAAGCCAGCTCATATTAAGACACGTGCACCCGGCAGTTTTGATTCATTCCCCTTGTACGGTTACCAAACCCTCACATTGGTTTTGTTTTGCGAACTAAATAATAAGTAAGAATGGAAATAAAATGACCACATTTCTAAATAATTTGCCTCGATAATTGACGAACACTACTGAATCATGAAATGTTGCACTAATACTCGTTAAGTACTAACCAGAAGTTTTTACCCACGTTTCATTAACAGAAATGCTCAAATTTATTAATTTAAATAGGGTCTATAAAGTTGCGTGCAAGGCGTTTAATAAAAATCATCTGGCCCGTATCGGCTCACTTGAAACCGTTAAGCCGAAACACTGCAGAAAACTGAAATAATCATTTTAACATCAGAATAATGTACAATCAGCATATAATGCACAACGTCGATTAAATGTGAAAAATTAATTCCCTTTCAAACGAACGGGTTTACCCATTTAAACAAGATTTAAAATATCGTCGAACCGGTTTCAGGTAACCTAATTTTCACCTGTTAATTTCCAGTGAAGTTTGATGCAAAAATAAAAAGTTCCCTTAGTCCAACGGCATATGTAAATATGAACATACATTTTATATTGATTGAAACGTTCTCTTTTTTCTAGAATATTCGTCCAGTTGTACTGATAGGAATCATGTGCTTAAAAATGCAACTATAAAATAAACTCTTCTCCATGAAGCTTTCTCAGACTATGTATTTTAAGTGAAATGTTTATTATTTCTCAATTGAGAAATGTAGACTGAAGATTGCAATTTTGTGCGACCATTTTTCAAAAATCTATGCACTTGGACTACTACTTGCGTCATCAGCAATTAAACCAGATTTGCAACTGATATTCCGATTTACCTTTATTCTATGAACCGTATAAATGACGAAAAACCCTCAATGAAAGAAGACATAAATATTCAATATGCGAGAGAAAAGTGCCGATGAAGGACGTGCAGTGTAGCCGTTTTTTTAATTTGAATTTAATCGAAGGGGAATTTTATTATGCCGTTCAAAAGGTGTTTTGAGGTATTTCGAGGAATCGAATCGAATTAGATGAAATTACGCACATGCATTACAGAATATGCTAAGTAAAATACTAAATTCGCTTGCTATTAATAAGCAGGCAAAACGTGCTAGGTAATGAGCAAGAAAATCTAAAAATAACAAGCAGAGTTATTAGGAGGACAACGATATAATATTTTATACAGTTTTACACAAAATAATTATAACCAAAGCAATAATTACATAACAGTTTTCATGTTTTTATTAAAATCGTGTTTATGGCCCGATCCGCTCAGCAGAAAACACTAATCAAATTTATTGATTGGAAAAATTGATTAGTTTTTCGGTCCTTTAGGCCATCGTGGAAAATAATTTCTTCCTGACGTTTCTCAAACACGAGTGGCTTGCATCTTCAGAGGTGGTTTGCTCGTCGCAGCACCACTCTGAAGCGGCAAGTCACTCGTGCTTGCGAAACGTCAGGAAGAAATTATTTTCCACGATGGCCTAAAGGACCGAAAAACTAATCAATTTTTCCAATCAATAAATTTGATACGGATCGGGCCATAAACACGATTTTAATAAAAACATGAAAACTGTTATGTAATTATTGCTTTGGTTATAATTATTTTGTGTAAAACTGTATAAAATAATATATCGTTATTCTCCTAATAACTCTGCTTGATTATTTTTAGATTTTCTTGCTCATTACCTAGCACGTTTTGCCTGCTTATTAATAGCAAGCGAATTTAATATTTTACTTAGCATATTCTGTAATGTATGTGCGTAATTTCATATAATTCGATTCGATTCCTCGAAATACCTCAAAACACCTTTTGAACGGCATAATAAAATTCCCCTTCGATTAAATTAAAATTAAAATTTATTACTTTAATTTGATTAATTTATATTATTAAGAAATTATTTTCCACGATGGCCCAAAGGACCGAAAAACTAATCAATTTTTCCAATCAATAAATTTGATAAGTGACAGAGATTTGATAAGAGAAAAAGATGAAGACTCGTGCTTGCGAAACGCCAGGAAGAAGTTATTTTCCACGATGGCCTAAAACTTCGAAAAACTCAACAGTGTCTAACAACATTGGTTAGAAATTTCTGAGTTTAACGAGTTCCACCAATGTTGCTTGAATCTCACAAGTTTTCCTATGCAATAAATTTGAATAGCCGAATGATGAAAAGTTGAAAAACTTTCAATAATCATTCGACGATGGCGCTTAAAGTAATTGCGATATGTAGTTAACAGCGACTAATCTGTTCTAAACATTCGTCACTGCTATCGTCAATATGAAACGTAATTCTATTTAGATTTTATTAGACTATATATTTTTTATCATCCTTGCCAGTTTGCAACAGACTGTCGTAAATTAATCTTTTTTGAGGATTAAGTTGGGACACACAAGGAACGTTAATTTATAACGAAGTTGGGCAATGTTTTCTTAGAACTATGCCGTTTTAGACTTCTTTCACCTGGATTTGGTAAGCAAAGGCCTCCTAAGCATGTAAAAGTGATATAAAGGGATCGTGCTAGAATGAGCCAGGCATTAATCGGTCTAATACTAAAGAAGAGCAATGATGCTGATAAAAGTCAAAACATTTTTATTTTCCCGAAAACTAATAAAATGCAGTACGAACTGGATAAATGAGCTGAAATTAAGTGACGAGTTAAATGGCCTTGTCTGGAAAACTATGTGTTATATCCTATAGAAGCAATTACAAATATTATTATTTCAACCGGTCATTTTCACCACCTTCCAACACATTTGAGTTGGAAACGCGTGTTTTAACTCCATCCGAAAGTGGAATAAAATTCAATTTTAATTTGCGTATAGAATTGTGTTGTTGAACTGTTTCACATTAAAATAAAATCGAAATTGAAGTACATAATAAAAATATAAAAAACTGCACTTCTAGCGTGCTTCATGCTGTGATTTTCTTATCACTGAACCTTCGTTCCTGCTTATCAACACTGCTTAAGTGAAATTTGTCTGATAATAGGAGAGTATCAAGAAATGATGTAAAATACTGGAGTTCTAACTTTTCGATATTAACAGCATTGTTTAATGTTTCAGGCTGAAGAATTAATAGATGACTTATTGTCATTGGAATCAAGTTCGCTGGCCTCAGACGGCTTCAAAACATCTGATAGTTCCTTAGCCAATGATATTAACATAAAAAACGAGCCATTTTTACTTAGTGAGGCGGACCTCCATGCGATGGCAAAAGATCGACAGAAAAAGGATAATCATAATATGAGTAAGTTAATTACGTTTATCGCTTAATACTAAGTAGGACATGGAATGTAGGAAGGAATGTATTTAAGATAACGACATTTAATGCCATCTGTTTTAAAACCTAAAGACAAGTTTTTATCTTATCAATAAATTTGGGCCACGTTTTCTAGTGGCCCAATCCATGCGTAGAAGTTAAATGGAAAAAGTGCGTAATTTTAAATCACTGAACTCATCAAATCAAATTGGTTCTTCATGTGTCAGTCAGCAATATTAAACCATTTTCCGTTACCGATAACATTATTTCAATTATTTTTATCTACAAATAATGACATCATTAAAAATAACCTGATTTTTTTCAAAGAGTAAAATTGTACTTTATTTAAATTCACAACCGACAAATAATCACCATCTCTTATTCCTGAAAGTGCAGATTCCGTAGAAACTCGCATCCAAAACGGTCAGAAAAATATCTGAAATAAGAGTTTGACTGACGTTAATTGGACGCAGCTTCATGAACACCGAAACCTGTAATCTTGGATGACAAATTAGTGCTTTGTCGTCCCCAGATAATAATTTTTGACGATCGTAATAGGTATTATTGTACCAATAAGTTGAAACATCATTATCTAAATTGGGAGCATAAATATTGGCGTCACACACTTGAATAGTTTTAACATAAATTATGCCAATTTACACTTATTGATTGATGTGTATCTATTTTGATTTCACTTATCTAAACACTCGAAATTATTGAAATCCAACACCAAGTGAGATGTATGTCATAAAAAGTTAGACTCTCATGGGGGCTTTGATGTGACATTGTTTTCCCCGATTCAATCTTTCTACGTCCCAGCTTTTTATCCAATTGCCTAAAGGCTTCGTGTATTTCCAGAGAGAATGAGAGGAAATTTAGCCATAACTATAAGGCTGTTTTAATTTCCTCTATCCCAACGTATTACCTTATTTACTCTAGATCAGTTTGCAAAAGTGGCTTACATTCAACCGCAAATTACCATACATAATAACTGCTTACAATAACGCCAAAAGTTATCAGGTATTTAATCCCAATGGAAAACCGTCAAATTTACATAATATGAACTTCCCTAAAAGCAATTTGCAAATTGTGTTGCTGAATACTTTACAAGTATTGAAAACAAAACACCCCCTACGTCAGTTGAAAAGGGTCCTTGACAAAAACAACACTTTAGTGGAACACACATTTAAGACTATGAATATGTATTGAGGTCCCTTTAATCACTAGCAATTTTGTCATAAGCTTTCAGATACGTTTTGGCATGTAAACAACATTGCTCACTGTTCAAATTAAAACCCGAACTTTATATGAAATGTTGTTTCCAGTTGAACGTCGAAGAAGATTTAACATAAATGATCGGATCAAAGAATTAGGGACGCTACTACCGAAAAACAACGACCCTTATTACGAAATCGTCAGGGACGTAAGACCGAACAAGGGCACCATTCTAAAATCGTCTGTTGAATATATCAAATGTTTGAAGAATGAAGTCATTCGGTTGAAGCAAACAGAAGCACGACAGAAACAAATGGAGAATATGAATAGACGGTTGCAGTTACGAGTTCAGGTTAGTTACAATTTATTTTATTTATTGACTTCGGCAAAAGACAACTCCCATCTACACAACGTTTATCTGTTTTTGTTAATTGCATTAATTTGACTTATTTTTTTAATCCAATAGATAAGTTGGACGCAGGTTTTGATATTAAATAACAAAAGCCGTTATCTACATCGATTTTTATCAGATTCTTCAGGACACAAAGAGTGTAGTGCTCCTGAGAAGATGGACGGCTTTTTTCCAGATAAATATTTTGCGACTGGAAAAAAAATCATATAAATATTAACACAATAGATTGGCGGCAACTGCGCTCAAACAATTGTATTAATAATTATATGTACATTTTTTTCAGTCGTAAAATTTGGCAATAAATAATTTATCGGGTAAAAAAAACCTTTCATCTTGAATCGATTCTCACGGTCCGTGCCTCGTTAACATAATTATTAAGATTTAATACTGTGAAATTAAAACGGTTGTTCCGGATGCGAGTAGATTTTTCTAAGTAGATAAATTTACAACATTAATTGAAACCTGGCAATTCACACTTGTAATTAAGTAACCTTCTCGATAACTATGATAATTAAGATGAGGGGCACCTTTAAAGCCGAACAAGTCCGCAATTGTTCGCCTAATTGACTATTTTGTAAAATGTTATAAAATCCAGACTAACAAATCAAAATCCAACAAGTTAAATGCACTAAACAGATTTTGTAAACATACCTCGAGATGTAGGTACATGATTTTGACAATAAATCAAAGAATGCCATGCGCTCATTAAAAAGCACATTAAATCCTTCAAATTTGAAATAATTCTTATTTTCGTCCATTCCAGCGGGTTTTTGATCGATCGCGATATTTAAGCGACGATATCTTTCTTAATACAGACTCGAACACCTTGAAACTGAATACTGGGGAGCTTCTTAGGTCGGAGGCAATCCATTGAGCCCAAAAAACACGCATGTGAAATTTTGATTTTTGACCGAGAATTTCATAAGGGGGTGTTGATTTTTTTCGAAAAATATCAAGTCTCAAAATGTCCCGAACTCTACATCATTTTCACCACAAGACAGCGAGGAAAGCCATGTGCTCATTAAAAGGCACATTAGAAGCTTCAAATTTGAAATAATTCACATTTTTGGTCCATTTTAGGCGGTTTTTGATCCATCACGATCTTTAGTCGACGATATCTTCCTTATTGCAAACTCAAAAACGTGAAACCTGCATACTGGGGAGCTTTTTAGGTTGGGGACGATCCATTGAGCACAAAAAACACGCATGTCAAATTTTAATTTTTGACCGAAAATTTCATAAGGGGGGGGGGGTTGATTTTTACGAAAAATATCAAGTCTCAAAATGTCCCGAATTTTACAGCATTTTTACCACAAGACAGCGAGGAAAGCTGCATGCCTTCATTAAAAGGCACATTAGAAGCTTCAAATTTGAAATAATTCACATTTTTGGTCCATTTTAGGCGGTTTTTGAACCCCAACGATCTTTAGTCGACGATATCTTCCTTATTGCAAACTCAAAAACGTGAAACCTGCATACTGGGGAGCTTTTTAGGTTGGGGACGATCCATTGAGCACAAAAAACACGCATGTCAAATTTTAATTTTTGACCGAAAATTTCATAAGGGGGGGGGGGGTTGATTTTTCCTAAAAATATCAAGTCTCTCAAAAAGTCCCGAATTCTACATCATTTTCACCACAAGACAGCGAGGAAAGCCATGCGCTCATTAAAACGCACATTAGAAGCTTCAAATTTGAATTAAATCACATTTTTGGGCAATTTTAGGCGGTTTTTGATCCATCACGATCTTTAACCGACGATATCTTCCTTATTGCAAACTCAAAAACGTCAAACCTGCATACTGGGGAGCTTTTTAGCTTGGGGGCAATCCATTGAGCACAAAAAACACGCATGTGAAATTTTGATTTTTGACTGAAAATTTCATAAGGTTGAGGGTTGATTTATTTGAAAAATATCAAGTCTCTCAAAAAGCCTCAAATTCTACCCCATTTTCATCACAATGAAGCGAGTAATGCAAGGTGGTAATTGAAAAACACCTTATACCATTCGCGTGCAAAATAATTGAAGTTTTTAGGCGGTTTTGTGCCTTTATGGTTGTTAACTGACGATAGCTTCTTTATTGCAAACACAACCACTCATATATGATGCATATTTAAATGACTTTAACAATATGAGTAGTATATGTGTTGATTTCGGAGAAACTTACTTATCAAAGAAATGAAATATTATAGTGTTTTAAGCAAATTTTGTGTTAAACACCAATTAATGCACTAGTACCAATTGTCAAACGCTTTTTCATGTAAAATCATCTTTTGGCCCCCAAATTAAGTACAGTTTCCGTTAACTGCCCTTGACTGTCCTAATATATTTTATAATACATATCTAGTGAATTAGCGTGATTTGTTTTCAATAGAAGCAAATATTTCATTGCCAGAGTTACACGCAATCTACATAGTTTTTACAATTACCATTTAGTCAATTAGTACCGCTACGATAACGAATCTGGTAAACCCATTTTGTTTGCATTTAGTTACGAGTCATCTGCATAAAACTGAATAATGATTGCGAAATGATTGACTTGCTAAATTTATTGAACTGCTGAGCATAAATATTCTAATACTTTAAGGATTTCAAAGCTCAAAAGCGTCGAGACGTTGGAGGATTCATTAAATGCCACGAGAGCTACAGTAAACGACATCTGCTGGCAGAAAGCGCTTAGTGTATTATTTTACCCAAAAAAACCCCTTCCTATGATTTAAGTGATTCAAGTTTCATGTGAATCTTGACGTTTTTGTGACCGTTTCCTACACAAGGTCAAGAGTTAGAGATTTCTAAAGAAAATGGTGTTTACTTTTAGGAGCTCGAAAGACAAGCCAAATCCCATGGCCTTCCAATACCGGACTTCAACTGGCAGAGTCTCTCGCTTAACAACAATCCATCACCGTACAACTTTAACAATCACGCCATGGATCAGAGCTTGGATCACAATCTAGATCACAGCTTGGATCACAAAATTGACCATGGATTAGATCACAGCCTAGATCACTTGGATCACAATCAACCGCCTTCGGTTACTGATATGATGTCGCCAATGTTTCCGGATCACAGTCGAAAAGTAAGTAAATCACCTTGACAGTCGAGTTGGAAAATATGCTGACTGTTAAATTTGTTTAAGATGCCAGACGTAATATCCGATGCGACATTAAGTTTAACAGCAGCGATGGAAGAAGCTATGGACGATGATGATCTCGTCTATAGCGTGAATGGTGATCCCATGCTGTCTTCTCCTAATGCACTCACACGAGACACTTTTCTCGTGAGAAACGTGTCTCCTGTTCACCATAGATCTGGCGATCCTCTGCTTTCAGAAGAACGCATACCATCTCCCACGCCCACCAGCCATATGGACGAAGGGGGAGATACCTTGAATATAGATATGATAGCATGATCTTAATCTCCTGTATCTTGCGAGATTTAGATTGTAGCTAGATATAGAGAATTTATTCTTACGCTTGATCTGCTAGAGTGAAACTGCCTAAAATGTATTTGGCCGCGAAAAAGTGGCTAAAATTAGACAGAACATGTTTTTCTAATATTCAATAGCACGCTCAATACAGTGGAGTTAATGGTTTTAGCATTGGCACATGAAGCTAAAAAGATCATCTCAAAATTGATTACTCCTTTACATTCCACACCATAGACGCAATTGAGAACAATTAAAGTTAAAATTGGCCGGTTTCTGGACCTTGTTCCTGGCTGTGTTGTGCTGTGCGAATAAAAAACACACGATTTGCTTTACCAAAGTAAATCAGGCAATTGAACGATGGCGAGATTACCAAATTAGTACATGAACTTTCCTAGAAAGTCTGCTTAATCTGATTTAACTCAACGTTTTAGTTTTGTATTCAGTTTAAATCATTAATGCAATAGATTGTCATTCAAAGTGCTTGGAGCTGGTACGATGTCAGTTTATTTAAAATAGGTTGCAAGCATTTGTGTTGAAATAAATGAAAACCTAGACGGATCTCAGTAATGAATAATCTGGTTCTAATACGCGCTTCAACTACCTAAACTCTTATTTTCTTTGGCCATGTATCATTTTCATTCTAGATGTAGCTAACAGTAAGCGCTTTTGTGATACTTCAATCAATACATGAAATGGCATTATCACATAAAATTCTTCTTTCAGGACAATAACGAGAATAGTATTTAATGTTCTCTAATCTCTTAGCCGGATAAGAAGTGTGACCAAATGGGAAAAGTGCAGTTAGCATTTCAAAGGTTACCAACTCAACAATTAGTATTATATGTTTTAAGTGGTTGCCTAAAAATTTGGTTAAGTATCATAAAGTACTCAGTAGTACATAATGAATTTAGCTTTAGCAAATTTCAGTTAAGGTCTAAACTGGAGAGTTTTTAGACTCTGAGAATGTAAGTTTGAAAAACGATTTCCACGACGGCATAGAAGCCCGAAAAACTCATCACTTTGAGGCAAAGCCAAACTCTTTTAATTCAGTTAAGGTCGTTACCAGTCTCTTGGTCGTTACCAATCGCAATACTATTAAGATATTAAAATTGTAAGCTACCAACTCTTCTATAGAATGCACATTAAAATGGATTTTTTTGTCACTCTGTATTTTGAAATGTTGATAAAATAGTGCAACCTTTGATGGAAATGACACATTGTTTCAAAGCAGAAAAACCGGCAATGATACACAGGCAATTTTGATACATATATGTATATTCAGATTGCTGATTGAAAATCGTTACTGTAATATAATACGTATAATTTTTGTCAATTTCAGAACTCTATATGTGCCTGTTAGAATGTTTACATTATTTTCTACTTTAAGCCTAAAACAGTGTTAATATAAAAGTGAATATTATTAACGGAAAACTACTGATGATATTCATAAGTGATATTGTTGTTGATAAATTTTATTGCATGTTGAAAGTACGTAATTACTTGTTAAGAGTGACAAAATAGTTTTATACTACAATTCGTTGAAATACGTATTTTTAATAAATTTCGAAAGTGTTCTTGAATTTACTATATCATCATTGTTATTTTGTGTTTTACGAATCATAGTTTATTTAAAGCGTTTAAGATTTATTACATATATTTGTTCCAATAAAAGTTTTGATTTTAAGATATGTTCACTTGTTCACCGGAATACTCCCATTTGAATAAGGAAACATTGCCATTGATTTTTTGTTACACTTACTTAAAACCGCACTGGATGTCCGTTCTCGCTGTGCATGCGGATGACACAACCATCAAAGCCTGCGCTTTTTTAGTTAGAATGCCACTACAACGCAATTTCAGATTTTTCAGCTGTAAAATACTACGCAATCATCGAACTAAAAGCATTAAAAAACAAGAAACGACTTTGTGGCATGTGCCACAAAGTGTTATGAATTGCATTTATACAGGACGTTGTCATTTTTTGGCGCATGTTCTTAGAAGCCTGATAAGTTCGGTAGTATCTAAACTGCGTGAAGCGTCCAGATTTATAAACGCTTTCTAACTCAAGTGGTTCTTGAGTGATGAGCAAATCGGTGGCGGTGATGAAAAAAATGTTCATCAGAATTTTCGAAAGTTGTATATTTCAATACCGAACGAATACGTGTACTGGTTTTTGAAAAATCGCAAAAATGCAATATTAATTTTTTTGTGCTAAAACGAGCAAATCCTTTCTCATTGCGTTTCAATGTTCTTTCAATGCACTAAAATATTGTATTGCCATTTTGTGGTGCCATTTTTTGCATCTGACGCACGTGCAGGTGCAAAAACTGCAGATTGAAAGAAAACCAAGCTCATTACACCATTGGATAAAGCTTTTCAAGCTCTATCCAATGGTGTAAAAACATGCTTCGTATCTCAAATGGCACTTGAGATACAAGCAAAAATATTGCATCTTGTTTGCACCAACACAATTTTGTTAAAACCGCGGTTCAAAAATAAACATCTCCCTCCAAACTCTAATGTTTCGCATGATATATCTGATTATCAATTCCCTATCTAGCAGCCATTTTGCTCTATTATACAGGTGGGAAATGGTATCTATAGTTTTAAAATAATTTCCTGGTGAAAGTTAACCCGCAATTATTAGTTGCAATTATCTGTCAGATCTGCGTGTTTCGGGGTATTAATAAATTGGAAAACTGTTTCCGATTCAAGGTTGAAACAATCGATCCGTTTCAGAGCATAGAATCACAGAATAATTTTCTGTTAGGTATCTGTTGTTTTCTGGATGGTGAATGTACTCCCGACTGCGCAGCAACGCGGATTATTGACGCGCAGTATGCTTGAAAGCTTGAACCATAGATTACAGTCTACTTGGATCAAAGCTTGCAGTTTGAAAAAGCTCGTCGTCAGAGGGAGCTGAAAGCAAGGCATTATCATATTTTGATATTGGAAATTGTGAGTCTCTCTCTTCTGTCTGATCGTCATTGTAAAAATGAAAATATACCACGACACAAGGTAAAATTTGCGCAGTCCATTGAATAAATCGTATTCGTACGGCGCAATGTCCAATATTGCGTTCTCTCGAATATGGCGAAAGTAGTCGGTTTACGTGTTGTGATAAGTGCTATCTTGTGACTTACTATGTTCGAAAATGGATAGTAACAAAAATACATATACGAAGGAAGTGTGATAACTGTGTACATACGAGATAATTAAGAAAAAAAACAGGCAGAATGTCAACGGACAAAATAAAAGTAGCCGTAAGGCTCCGTCCTTTTAATCGAAGAGGTAAGTGAATAGATTAGAAACAGTTCTACCAAAACACTAAAAATAGACCCCTTAATCTCCCTCGAAGCGTGTCATTTCAAAAATCTCACCGCACCGTCATGAATCATTCCCTTCAATAATGGGATCTAAGTCGTGTTTTCGTATGACAATACAACAATCAAGTGGATTTTGTTAACAGCCTTAAAGTTTTACTTATTACAATCAGTACGAGGCCGGATGGATAAGTAGTTTATTAGAACCAAAAACTAAAATTCAGAGCAAAACATGCAAACGCGACCAACAACAACAAAGAGTGCTTTCGCTTTTACTGAAGACAACAAGTCCAATAAAAGAAATAATTACAACTAGTTTTTCTGTCTGCTACTCTGCAAACTGGGGCTTACCATTTACTTTTACGTAAAAGTATATGGGGCTTACAGTTAGGCAGCCAAATAGGCAAAATTACCTGAACAGACCTTTAGAAGAACACAATGGCAGATTTTGCACCTGCATAGTAAGACCCTTTCACTTTCGACTAGAGCCACGTGCGGGATCCAAAAACATCAGAAAATGTAAGATAATCGGATGTAACCGACGAAATTCTTGTTTTTATATCAGAAAATATTTAGAATATTAAATACATAAGTAGGGAATATATCGAAATATTCAGAAAACTTCACTTGGTAACCATTTAGCCCTTAGCATTGCAGCGTGTGATCCCTATCGTTTCCGAATAATGTACAAAATGATCGCAACTCAATGAACAAACTCATACATGAAGACAAAAGCAAAGAAAGTTAAGACGTTGCTAGTGTAAGCAGTGTATCAAACTTTCACTTAGATTAATAAGGGTTTTGGTGCCTTGGCCAAGAAAAAAACAAGCTTTAATTAATATCGTCTCATGGTGTAGCACATTTTTTAGAGAAATTAATGTAACTAATAGGCGCAGATACAATACCTCATACCAATTCAGTTTATGAAAGAGCATCAGCCCACTCACATACAATAAATTAGGGATTTTTCAAAGAAATTGCCACTCTAAATAGGTACTTTACTTATATCTGCAGTGAATTATGAAGTTTTCAAGACCTTCGAAAATAAGCAGAAGATGCCGTATGCCACCGCACAATGGTGATGTACATTGGCACTGATCTCATCTTATCTACAGGTTTTTCAAACCCACTGGAATTCATTCGGCGATAAAGCCAATCTAGGATGCAGATAAATTGAACAATTTATTAAGTTTATCTTTTTAATGACATTGAAAAGTGTAAAGCTGAAGACTTGGTTATTGGAAGCGAAATGTTGGCAAACTTGCGAAAGCAATACTAGACCGTATATGCCCACTACTTGCAACATGCGAAAATGTTTCAGACCGTTTATATGTTAGCCAGATAAGTAAAAGTTTCAAACACCTATATTTATCCATGACGCGACACATGGGCAATAAAAATATGTAATATTTCCGTCCATATTAAAAACGGAATATTTACAATTTGGGCCTATTAGCACCTAATAGTTCTGATTCATTTCAATAGAATATTAGAATATCTCATAAAGCATATAAACTGCGTGTTGTCGGATTCGGTCCCTTGACTTTTTCAACCACGGTTTTTTCAAACACTCTAAACCGGGAAAATATTGGAATTAGGACAAAAACATTGAGTGTTAAATATCGATGATTGGAAAAGTTTAAACAATCATCACAATCCGCCCCTGTTCCATTGTCAAGCCAGTTACAGAAAATTTTCAAATCCAATAAAATGTTTATGCCGATACGATAGATTTAGAAGCAAGCAACAGAAAATGTTAATGGTCACAACGATTATTAACTGAATTTAAATAAAAATGTGAAAGTTAACCAATTTTCTGCAATCGATAAAACATCTATTCCCTAAGCGACAAAATGTTCCCGTGCACATCGATAACATTTTCAACTTACAAAAGTTCCCAATCTTCGAACGAATAAGAACTTTCGGTTTCAGTGAAACTCAAGAGATTTGAGCTTCTCAACTCCGCGGTGTTCACTAAGCGACTACAGCAGTATTTCACGGGAGATTTTGAGAAAGCAAAGTTTTTAATTTTGAACTTCCCATGTTGAATGAAAGTTTCTGCTCCGCAAACTGCGGCAACCTATTTCAGTGCAAGGTTCCAGAAGAAAGTAATTGGTCATTAAATCAAAAAGCTTTGGCAGAAGTTTAGGCCTTTATATATGTCTGCATCGTTCGTACGTAAATTGAAACACTTTACTGCTGGAAGAGATTTAGTAGATTTTTTTGAAAATCGTCTGTGCTTTTACGATCAGCAAGGCTTTAAAACAGCTAATCCGGGATAAGTATTAAAACTGCTTAAAAGCATTCAAGCTTCACGAGTTGTACGCTTTCAAATTGCATAATTAAATTAGCAACGGAACTGCGCTGAGATTTCAAGAACATTATTAAGCTTCATTACCTAGAAGGAATCAGCCTAAAGCAACATAAAAACCGTTATTGAATTTCAAAGCATAATATTGAAAATTTCCAATAAACCAGCACTTAAAAGAAATCAATAGATGTCCAATATTTGCCGATCATTCTCATGGAAATACTTTTGATTGTTACAGAGCTTGAGCTAGGAACGCAATGCGTTGTGGAAATGGAAGAACAGCAAACCATTCTTCACCAACCTACGACTCTCGATAAAGTGGATAGGTAAGTCCAAGTTAAAAAAGTAAAACATTACGTACCAATACTAGAGAGACTTTATTCAGATAAAACTTGATATTATCGTAATAAATTACTTCTAATGACCACGAGCATATCCAAGGAATCCCTTTCAAATCGACGATTAACATTACCTATGTTTCCCCAATGTAAATCAATCTTTGCATCAATTTAATACGCCTTTAAACAATGAATAAAATAATTTAAAATACAGACCAATTTGTTTCGAATTTTTGACAAAATTGATTTGCCAGGGTTACTATAATATAATCTGACTAGCAAAAACCGATTGTGGGTGAAAAATAAAAAAGCTGGACCATTTTCACTTGACTTAAAAGAACATGTTAGAGACTTGGTTTCGGAACATTATTTTTAAGTAATGGTCACAGATTTATAGTTTCGTCAATTTCACTTTCAGAAAGGATGTTTTAGTCACACTTCCAACACCCGGCTAATATTTCGGCAACCTAATTAAATAGAAATTTGATACCAGAATACGGTTTATGTGCTGTGCTATCACAGTTAATTAATTAAAACTTTGAGATGAAAATTGCCAAGCTTATTTACCCCCAGGATTTTCAAAGTTTCATTTCTATAATTACAGTTGTGTTGGGTCATGCGGTTTTAATCTAGAACTGTGGAGCTGGGGTAACCAAGGAAAATTCTAGGCAATTGATTTTATTAAAATCCTATGCTTATAAAGAGTTAGGAGAACGATTCAGCGTGAATTAAAACAGTTTAGTCTCATTGTCTCACTCTAGTTGTTTTCAGTTCACACACACCAGTTTTATCTACAGTATGTTGTGCAAACTTCGCATTCATTTTAATAATAATAATAACAATAATAAATGATGTCTAGACTTCAAGACAGCCTAATTTGCCAATATGTTAAGAAACAGGCATTTGAATCTACCAGCTTTTTTATCAATATTTCTTCATGTTCAAGCCTATTGAGCATTCATTCCGGAGAAAACGCATACCGAGAGATAAATTGCTCGAAATAGAAACGATATATACTCAAGCATTCGGTATGGCTTATGGTTAAACTTCCTCTTAACATTGTTCCGTGTACTCAAGTTTAATTAACAGCGCTCTTGGCTCATTCTGAACTACAAAGAAAACTATTCCACAACTACTGGAAATATATTACCCGAACAAGCAATTTGGAATTAAACACTCAATTTTGATGAAACGCTGATGGTGCAGATTATATCTATTAGTTAAGAGAGAAATGTGAAAATAACGTGAAAAATCGAATATTTGCACAAGCTGCACATTTTGTGATCACTTCTTGATAAATTCACCACTGATACCTTCGAATACTTAATCCTTGACTGCACTAAGTGATTAAAAGATTCAATTAACTCCTATTTTATCAGAAATAAAACAGATTGGACTACAAAAAAAGCATGAAATTTAATCCAAATCCTCTCAAAATCGCTCGTGGCTTGCCATTATTTTCCTACAGTTAAGTGTAGGATATTCACGGGTTCAGAAAAAAAATTAATTACAAGCCAGCAATCAATCATTGCTCTGATGTATATCGAGATGAACTGAATCCGTCTAACCGACCCCAATTAAAAAAAGTTAATAGAATCCTGCATCAAATTCTCGATCAAACCAAATAGTCGTAAGTCTCCCAGAAAAACATTTGTACATTCTTGAATAATCTATGGGAAAACTGATAAGATAAAATCCTGAGGGAACAAAAAGCGAATAGGACTAACCTTTGTACAATCCTTACAAAGGAACGCAAAGAACGAGAAAAATATTGCAAAAACATGACTCCAGTGCGGTATTAAACCACATAGATAATACCTATGCAGATTTTTAAATACTCAGGTTCTCAATTAAAAACCTTTAAATATTTATTCAGACCCCCAGAAAATTTGCCTAACCGAGTTTTCGATAGCTTAGCGTGCTTTCTAAATGCGTCAGCGTAAGATGATACACGTTTTGTTTTTAAAATATTAATAGGCCGCAATAATGCGAATAATAGGGGTTAAATTATTCCCGAAATATTTTGAATGAAACTGGTTTCCAGATTTACCAGGCCTCAATTTAAAAAGGTCGCTTATTGCAAATTGAAACGATTCCAATACACATTCAATGGATGGGTGAAGTTTCACCAAATAATCGAGCTGTTTTCACTTTTTAACTTGCACGCTTAACTGAACAAGTTGATTTTCTATGATTTTGTAATGTATCGACCAAACCATAATTTAACAGTTCAGTGCAGCCGATCTTTTTAGTTTCTGGTTTGTAAAATAGGTACCATGTATAGAATTGGTTGAATGTCTCGAGTTACTTTATGATCAGGCCTCGTTTTGACCTCTTTAACGTAAACGTGCGTAACCATCTACAACATGATTGATCGCGTCAGGTAATAATTATTTACGTTCCAGAAGCGTTTATAATATATCATTTGGAATTCTATTAAACGTGGCCCAGTTTCACTCCACTTTTATCCTCCGGTCTGATTATCCAAAAATTGGATTGGACCTTCAATTATCCAAGTTCACAAAAAAGACAACTATTCCGCAATAAAGGAAGGAGCTTGGGGAGCTGCTCGTAAATATTCAGAACGACAGCGCCCTTAAAATCCCTTAATTACACCTGCTCAAGTTTTCCGGTCACTTTATCTACCAAGGCTTTGCAAAACTCTCTTCGAAGCTATTTTCCTTGTCCCCCAACGAACCTGCTTTGGGAGCAAAGTTTGTGCTTAAGAACAATTGGATATTAAAACATTTTACCTAAGCGCACGCTAAGCGACTTTAAACAGATTTTCGATAGCAGTAAAATAGTATTTGAGTTTTGCAAGGAAAATGAAGTGTTATACTGACACCATAAGTGAAAAAATCAAGGACTCTGAGGCAATGTTTAAATTTAATAATACACACAATGCTGATTACAATAATAAGTTATTAGAAATTTATCGCTATGTAACAGCTAGTTTCAAAACAAATTCATTGTCTTTGCCTGATTTTTCATGGAAGATTGGTGACGGTTTTTACAATGACAAACGGAAACGTACACTCAAAGTCGTAAACATTATCGGAACTACTAGTTTAACAGCAACATTTAATAAGAAAATAATGCTTTGTGTACAGTTACATAAACAGTTCTTTGTATTTATCCTCATTTACTTGCTTGTGAAGCACAGCTCAAATGCGACTAACAAAAGTTTAGTAAAGAGAACAAATAAAGACGCAAAGTTACATTACTGCTATTTGAACAATTAGATACTACGTTTTCAAGATGTACTTTCCCATTTGCTATTAAACAATATTTGACATATATTTTTAAATAAAATGCGAAATTGTAGGTGCAAATGCAAAACATTGTTGATTGATTTCAGATTTAGTATTTTGTAAATATTTCCCAGAATAGGCTTATTCCGCTTGTTAGGTAGACTCAGATCCCAGGTGTAACCGGAAGATGTCTGATTTACAATAACAATATCTTAAACGGAAACGCGAACTTTATACTGATCCTCAGCTACGAATAATAATTTTATTCGTGGCACCCCATTTGAAAATCAAAGCCGAATCGTGACAATTAAGCAAAAACAACATTCTCAATCATCGATTGGTTTTATTATTGGTATTCTGACGATATTTCTGGACATTACACCCATATTGATTTGTTCTGTTTTGTTCTATCAATTAGAACCGGAATCTCCAAACAACTGTCCGCAAAAGCGCGCCTGAATTCGTGATGTCCGACACACCCTTTAATTTATTTTGATAAATAAAATCAAATGTTCCATAATTATTATTATGTCCAACTATGTCTGTGGTTTTCAAATGGAAGACCGTAGTGCACCATTATTTTCAAAAAATCGCCAGTCAAAATCCGCAAAAAGCGAAAGGGACATAAATGTTATCAAAGAAAAACTACAACCCTGGTTGCCATCTACTTCACAAAATAAACTGCCGTCCAGATCCAGACCGCTGAAGCTCGCTAAAGTACAGATTTTTTTCTCAAAAACTGAACATTTAGTGGCTTCAAGTTAGAACAGCTGCAAGTTTGGTTATAATTTAGATTTAGAACACTCTGAAGGGCGCTGGACGGCAAAAAAATCTGGAATAGTAGGACGGATCCTGGCCGCTGAAATTCCCTAGCTCGGGTTCGCTTGCCAAAAATAATGTGTTTAGTGTGTTAAATTTTGAAAAACCGCTCAAAGTCTAAATTAGTAGGCCAGGACCACTAAGGCTCTAGACTAGACCCTCACAAAGTAATAAAAAGATTCACTTATCCTTAGGCGCTTTAGTCTGGATTCTAGGGTATTATTAACTTTCAAAGCAGCCAAAAGTTACATTTTCAGCAGAAAAACATTTAACGTAGAAACACTGAGAGTGACAAGTTAAAATTTGTTAATCTGAGTAAACCCTAATGAGAATTCAAGAACAGTTTTTTTTAAATCAATAATTGATACAAATATCTTAGACGACAATAAAAAGTGTTGTTCAACAGAACGATACTGACTTATACCAGAGAAAACCCCTAGTTAGTGTAAAATCTGACTTTTTGTCTGAAATTTGGAAACCAGCATGAAATCTGTCCAAAGTTTTGATAGTGGAAATGAGAAACACAGAGAATACGAATCGTAAAACATGAATAAAACTTTAGTTGCTTTTCGGAAAATTATCGATGCAAGAGATTTACAGATTAGTGATTATTCTTACCAGCTTTCTGCAAGCTGGCGCCCCATCCTTCATTTGCTGCCCATTAATGCTTAAGAAGTCCGCCGTAAAAATCGACTTCGAAATTAAAACTTAATAGTAAAGTAAAATAAGTAATTAATATAATACGATATGAAACAAATCTGCAAGCAAACACTTTAATTAGAAATTAAAGTTTAAATTAACCTTGAAATATTCACAACCAACCTAAAAATGGCATCAAAGAAAAACTACAACTCTGGTTACCATCTACTTCTTCAAAATAACCTGCCGCCCGGATCCACACCCCTCAAATTCTCTAAAACCTTGAGTTTTTCTCAAAAAACTCAACGCCATTTAGTGGCTTAAATTACAAAGAACAGCCGCAAGTTTGGTTATAATTTAGATTTGGACCTCTCACCCTGAAGAGCGCTAGACGGCAAAAAAATCCGGAATAGTCAGACAGATCCTGGCCGCTGAAATTTTCAGCAGGAAAACAATAGTTATTAATATCTTTGATTTGAAGATAATTAAAGTGTGTTCGCAGCAGAACACTTTGACTTTTTACAAATTAAAACAGTCTAATGTGGAAAACCTGACCATTTCTGTCGAAAAACTGAGCGAATAATTTTCAAATTTATAAATATGAGCAATCCCTAATGAGAATTCAAGAACCGTACTTCCAATAGTTGATACACTCTTACACGACGATAAAAAGTGTAGTTCGCAGCAGCACACCACATAGAAACAGTATACCATAGAAAACCTGACTTTAAATTAATTTTACAAAAATCAAATAAAAAAATTCGAGAAACCCGATCCGGAATCCAGAAAATCCCTCGTCTATCCGCGTCGAATAAATATGGCATGCAACAATATCATAAAATATAAGTCAACAATATGGGACTAAAATCTCTACTTCTACATGCTAACCAGGGGCAAATAAATGCCAAACTTACCGAAAGCTGCATCGTGCCACCTGGAAATAAAGAAAAAGATGTTTAGTACCGCAGGAAATCGGTCCAAAGCCATGTTATTAGAAAGGAAAAAAACAAAAAATTGAAAATGTAAAGAATGCATAAAACTTGATTTGCTTTTTGAAAAAACTAAAATAATTTCCAGCTATTCCTACCCGCTTTGTGCAAGCTGGTGCCCCATGGTGTACCTAACAAGGTACTATCTATTAATAATCAAAAAGTTCACACTACACTTGAACACATAATGAAAATGCATTCCTAATTGAAAACTTTAAGCCTGTACTGAATATGCAGAATAAACTACTGCAGTTGCCATAAGGGCCACAATGATTCTATATTCTTTGGCACAACGGAATTCGATTTTTTTGACGATTTAGACACGACAAAAATCGACCTATTTCGTCGATGGTCTCTAATAAACTGTATATTCAGGAAAAAACTCATGGTACAGTACCAATATGATGATATAACCATTTGCTCGATCGCCCTTTGGATGAGTCACTCATTGCTTGGCTTTACAGTTCAATTTCACTTTTTTTATTGCTTACTATTTTGTAGAAAGCGCCTATTCGGCTATAAAAAGTATAAGAAAGTAAGCGTTTTTCATCAAGAACTTGGCACCAAATAAAATGATTTGAACGGAAATTTTAATACTTATTTAAATGACTGCAAATTTAAAATACAAATCTCAAAAACGCATAGACTTTTATATAGTTTTAGACGTTTGCGTTGAAGCTACCTCTGAAGACGCAAGGCACTCGTGCTTGCGAAACGTCAGAAATAAATTATATTCTACGACGACTTAAAAGCACGAAAAAATCTCCAATTTAAAGAACAAATTATTTTGATAATATTGGTAAATCAAGCAAAATTCGCAGATTTGGCTAACTTTCGAATCGCAGAAATTCCGATGGTTCAATCACACACTAATACTCAATTAGCACGAAACCAACTACAATCAAACTACCAATTAATTAATTTTTTATGAGTAATATCTCAGAATATCATAGTTCTAATTTGTAATTTTAATTGTGGTGCACTACATCCGCATTTTAATTTCAGTGTTAAGAAGCACATGAAAGAAAGTGAATTTATAAGGTCTGTCTCGCAGTTTTGTCTGTAAAGAACAACCGTTTTCGGCTTCCTCCTAAGCTTTATTAATTAATTACGTAAACTGTACGTGTATTGTTATGTAATTCGTTCTAGAAATTGAAGGTGATATTGATACTAGACCAGCAATAAATGAGAGAATTAAAGCTGGATGATATTTGGGCTGACCCGTTCCAAATCGCATTGAGATGAAAGTTTCCAGAAGCAATTTGCCGTGTTCGAAGCAATTGTGTTGTCGCTGTAAACATCAATTTCGTTTCTCATTTTGAGGGTTCAAATCCCACTGTGTCCCAAACGCGAATTCCTACGCTATTTGTTTCCAAATATTGATGGAAGAAAATTCATTTTGTTGAAACGTTTGTCTACCTAAATCCACTTTAAACTGCAAAGCTGCCAATCGTCCAGAATACCAGAAAAATTGAACATTTCCATAACGTCAAAACCCAAGAAAGGTCGCTAATAGAAAGCACTTAGAAAAACTTTTAAAAGTGACCTCGTCTCTTCAAAATACACATGATGAAAGTGGGTCTCTTACCAGGGGAATTGAGACCCTAACCAGGGACTCTAGATTGAAATTACTTTTCCGATAAAAAAATAATCAAAAAGAGACTTTCGAGCTTAAGGCATGAAAATGCGATGTACAAAATGATATAAAGCAGGCAAAATTCAATGGGGCAATACGGCGCATTTTGCATTAAAAGTTGCTATTTCCCAATAACTATTTAGCTTTTTGCTTTTTAAGGAAACAATTCACGGTTGAATGATGGGCATGCAATGAACTATCAAGTAAGCAAATAAAAATCTTCGATATATATCGGAAAATAACAACATGTACATAGATACTCGGAATAGGCTGCTTGGCAACCTTAAAATAATCAATAGATGTTAAAGCAATTGTTCGCTCAACTTGTACTGCAATGCTCTTTATTATGTTTCCAGAAAACAGTTGAAAACCTTCGCATTTGATCATTGCTTCTGTTCGGTGGATCCAAATCAAGAAAACTTCGCTTCTCAGGATGTCGTTTTCGATTCTCTAGGCAGAGATATTCTAGAGAATGCTTTCCAAGGGTACAATGCATGCATATTTGCTTATGGACAGACAGGTAAATACCTTTGCGATTTATTAGATAGATAGTTATTGAAAATCAATATATTTCAAGCTAATGTTGCAATAATTTCGAGGAAGCATGGACGTCTTTACAGATCGTTTATTAGGGCAACGGCCTTCTTTGCATACGATGAATCACCAGGTTCAGGCAAAGCATTTTCTGTGTGTCTATAAATTTTCCTTCTGTTATTTCATTCGTTTTTTTATGAATAATTCAAATTTTTAACGAAACAAATGGTTGGATCTCTGAATATACATCGGTTAAATAAATCATTTGCTGCGCTACAAAACAACACCGGGTAGGTATTGATTTTTATGTACCCATCTGAAAACTGTTTCGTACTAATTTATCACATCGGATTGTTTATAGTAGATATAGATAACCATATCTGAAAATAGCATATTTACACTGGTTGATAAGACATATAAGTAGATAAACCCTGATATTTCCAGTTGAATTTTATTGCACAAAAAAATCAAAAACTGAGCATATGCATTTGGACAAACAAAACCAATTCAAAACGTTCCAGCTCGAGGCAGTTTCATAGGCTCAAGACTAAGAAAATAAGTCTAGATTGCGAATGCTCCAAATGTGTGCGGGGCCAGTCACTAAGGAAAATTGAAAATTAAGATTTTGTTCCATTTATTTATAATTTAAAACCAGATTGACTGGTAAACGGCGTAAATTCACTGAAGTATGAAAGCTACTTAAACTTCCTCTTTCACAACTTTTGCTTTTTATTAAATTGGCAGCAATGGCTTTATTGAATGCTAATTCCATCAGGTTGAGTGGGTTCATGTTTGAAAACCTACCAATTGTTACGTAATTTCCTTAAAAAATGCTTTTAATATCAACATTTTATTCGTACTGACTAATGACTGAATTTACCCAATTTCACTTTTATTATGCTAGTTAGAGAGATGAAATATTCAAAATGGGCTTTCGGGGAACTTGTTCTGAGCGGAGAGAAGTCAATAGGAAAAATCGTTAACAACCTCCAATAGCAAAGAGATGGTGATCATCGTCTCTTCAGGTGTAAAAGTTCCACGTAGACTCTTAACTAGGGTTAATCAGGCATTTTACTTTGAAATGTATTTTTTTCTCATTTAATGCGCGTCAGAAGACAAACTATTAAAAGCTTCCCTTCTCCACTTTCTTCCACCTTCTTCGCAACTCTGGTGAGTTTTTCGGACTTTCAGGCCGTTGTGGAAAAGTTTTGTGAGCTCGAGTGGCTTGGTGACAAACCACTTCTGCAGATGCAAGCCAATGTGCTTGCGAAACGTCTTAAAGAAATTCTAATCGACGCCAGCATAAAAGCCCGAAAAACTAACCAGTTTCAAGCAATGACCGCGAACGCGTACCTTTTTTGAGACCTTTACAAGCCAGAAAACTTTTTAAGAACCTCTTCAGGTGGAAACGCCCTATTTGAGCTCTTAATTAGACTTATTCATGCGTTTTGCAATGCCCTGAATATGTTAGAAGAAAACATTATTCCCAATCTAGATTTAATTCCTATGCTCTATTAGACAGAACAAAGTGAGCCGCCCTGTATATTACATATTAATATAAAGATAGTAGGTAATCAATGATACGTTTTCAAGTAATGTAAGATTAAGAAATGACTAATTAAGGCGTTTCTATCTAATCTGGATTTCGACACAGAAGGCAGGAAACTTGGTGTGGAAAAATCAATTAAAAGTTAATTAAGCCTGGATTCCAGCTTTCACTCCACATTAAGTAATTATCCAAGTTCAACTAGGCGAAGCAGAGAATTGAGCAGACTCTTTCTTAATTGTTAGTGGTAAATAAAGATCGGAGAAAAACGACCATTATCTTACTACGTAGTATTATTGAGCTGCCAAGTTTTTCATATAAAGTTTCCTTTTGCTACTTCATTGATGTCCGTTCGAATATTGGGGATAAGTCTTAAACGAAAACCTGGTGATTCAAACGTTAGCAATTGGAATTCGCCAACATTGGGAAATAGGAAATTACACCCTTGGGTGCTATTTGATTGGTGAAGGGTCGAGCGAGAGCTTTTCAATGTAACACGATTTGCATCCGGAATTTTCCTTATATTTCGGAACACACCATATCGATTTTAAGTCGCACTAGTTGCGTGTTTATAGCATTTTTGTCGGTTCCATCGCATTTCGATCTTAATTACTTCCAGAGTACAGCCCGTAAAAATTCACAACGTTTATAATTAAATGTACTTCCATTAATTATATTGACGATCTTTACTGCCTGAACGAGTGACGCGATAAACAAAGTGGAGGAATGAGAATTGACGATTACTACAATTTTTAATCATTGGAAATATCGGACTTATTCTAACACTTTTTCTGTTATAACTACACGTTTTCGTTAAACCGCTGTTATCCATAAATATATTTTAAGCACACTCATCGAGCATCCAGACGCGGTAAGAAAGCAATTAAGCCAAGTGCATCCTGTAGAACACAAAAATAAAAACACCCCGTCCAATGTGTTTCCATGTTGTTTACTCTGCGCCACACATTTCGAACTCAACATGATAGTTAACGCCAGATTGGACAAATTAATTCTTCTAAAAAATGTGACAACCCTTGTGAGAATTTCAAAAATTAGCAATTTAAAATATAGTTAATAAAAACGTATGACTAAACTATTAGGCGCTTTAACCCCATTTCTGGAAGCAAAGTGTCCTATAATCAACTTTATATTGAACTTTTCCACGCCATACAATCAGCTTTCGATGGGGTGATTTTATTTCCATAACGGTAGATCGATTTTTAACTAACCTTTCAATGGACGAGTCAGGGCACATTTTTACATATTAAAAATTAATAGAAATGAAACGATTAATAGAAAACTTCCATAGACGGTGTCAGAAAAATCGACATGAAATAATGTCCAAAATTTGCACGCCCTGTTTTATGTTTATTTCAAGTTGTAATCAGTTTTTATCAAAGTATTCTACTAGGCGAAAGGTCGGAATTTTGTCATTAAGGCCTCGGTTTATTTCTTCTCTGTAAGTCATTAAAAATTGGTAAATAAATATCGCTTCAAAGTAAGCCGAGGGCCGTTTCCGTGGGCAAGAAACGGAACCATTTTTATTGCTCTCAATGCTCTAACCTAGATCTAGTATGGTCACGAATGTGTCCGATTTCATCACAGTTGCTGACTCACCGCGTTGATTTAGGGTGAAAGCAATAAAGATTTTCTGCCTTTGATCTCCATTAAACACTAAAGTAATTCCAAGAGGGGAATGCTTTCGACCCATTTGTAAATGAAAGGATCTATAATTCAAAATTTGAGCGCACTACTGTCTCATACAATTTCGAAACAAACGATATATTTTTTCAAATGCGGACAGAAAATGACAAAACCATCAAGTATTCTCTTCGCTAACCAAGTTTTCCAGTAGATTTCAGACATATACAAACGCGAAGCTGAGTCAAGCTGGCGCTTTGCCATTATTTTGAGTCTTTGACAGTGGAAATATGAACCCTTTATTTCGTTTTTCATTGATTTTTGTTCTAAATATATGAACAACTTCCTATGGCCTAGTAAGACATAAAACTCCAACATTAAACGCTCGTAAACAAAAAAGACGTGAATTAGTTCAGCTAGACAACTTCTCAATTTCCTATACAAATCTTGATAAGTCTGGTGCTGATGGCCTGATGGGTCAGTATCCTATAGCTTAAACTTGGCTAGTTTCCAACCCTTGTTTTTATTTGGCAAACTAAATGTACACAATCATAGGATATTGATAAAGGAATCCAGTTGACAGTTGAAACACTACAATGGTTTGCTGTGTTCAATCATTCAACAACACTGAATTGTTAATAGAA